TGTTGCTTTGTGTGGCATTAAACAGATCTCTACGCAGCATTAAGCCTCGGCTCATGTGAGAGAGGTTATGCTATGCCTGTGTCTACACTCTGCCTGGAAGGATTATTCACTAACTACTGGGAGAAAGGGAACCCAAGACGGTCAGAGAGGGTTGGACCGTCACACACCCCTCTTACCAAACAAAACCCTTTAGCTCAAAAACACCCCTCACCTCAAGAACACACCCTTTGAGCCAAAAAGACTCTATCACTCAAAAAAGACTCCCTCACCTCAGAAATACACCCCTCACCCCAACACTAGTGATGTCGCGAACACGAAACTTCCGCAAATGTTCGCGAACCGGCGAACCGGGCGAACCGCCATAGACTTCAATGGGCAGGCGAATTTTAAAACACACAGGGACTCTTTCTGGCCACAATAGTGATGGAAAAGTTTTTCAAGGGGACTAACACCTGGACTGTGGAATGCTAGAGGGGGATCCATGGCAAAAATTCCATGGAAAATTACACAGTTGATGCAGAGTCTGGTCTTAATCCATAAAGGGCAGAAATCACCTACCATTCCTAAATCACAATGGATATGGATTGATACCTGACATATGACATATTGACACAGAGCAGAATAGGGACTGTTCCCCCTACATAGGGTCACTTGGCAGATATGGATTGACACCTGTCCTCAGAGACCATGATACACACTGACACAGAGCAGACTAGAGACTGTTCCTCCTACATAGGGTCACTTGGCAGATATGGATTGACACCTGTCCTCAGAGCCCCTGATACACACTGACACAGAGCAGAATAGAGACTGTTCCTCCCACATAGGGTCACTTGGCAGATATGGATTGACACCTGTCCTCAGAGACCATGATACACACTGACACAGAGCAGAATAGAGACTGTTTCCCCTACATAGGGTCACTTGGCAGATATGGATTGACACCTCTCCTCAGAGCCCCTGATACACACCGACACAGAGCAGAATAGAGACTGTTCTCCTACATAGGGTCACTTGGCAGATATGGATTGACACCTGTCCTCAGAGACCATGATACACACTGACACAGAGCAGAATAGAGACTGTTCTCCCACATAGGGTCACTTGGCAGATATGGATTGACACCTGTCCTCAGAGCCCCTGATACACACTGACACAGAGCAGAATAGAGACTGTTCTCCTACATAGGGTCACTTGGCAGATATGGATTGACACCTGTCCTCAGAGCCCCTGATACACACTGACACAGAGCAGAATACAGACTGTTCCTCCTACATAGGGTCACTTGGCAGATATGGATTGACACCTGTCCTCAGAGACCATGATACACACTGACACAGAGCAGAATAGAGACTGTTCCTCCCACATAGGGTCACTTGGCAGATATGGATTGACACCT